GTACACAGTATGTTCCATTTATCTCCTGAGTGTCCCGCTCTCTTCCTAATTTGAAACGCCTCCTAGACTCCTTGCCGGAGCCTGTGCTCCTGCTGGGTGACTTCAATTGTCGTCGTTCTCTTTGGGGTGAGGTTCTGACGAATACCCGGGGTCGCCTTCTTGAGTCGTTTCTCTTCTCTTCTTCCCTGTCTCTTCTGAATTCTGGTGAGCCCACTCATTTGGACTCTCGGACTCGCACCCTTTCTTGTCTTGATCTTTCTCTCTGCTCTTCTCTTTACTTAGATTTCACGTGGCAGGTTCTTGATGACCTCCATGGAAGTGATCATTTCCCCATCCTTGTTTCCTTTTTCTCTTTTCGCCCTTCCCTCTCTTTCCCTAGGTGGCAGTTTGCTAAGGCAGACTGGACCCTATTTACCCTCAGTGCTGCTCTCTCTGACCTCTCCCTTCTGCCTCTCTCTCGCGCTCTCCTCCTTTTTCATGACACTGTCTTCAACGCTGCCCTCCACTCTATTCCTCGCTCTTCCTCTCGGGGTCCACGGAAGTGCGTTCCCTGGTGGAATGCGGACTGTGCTCGGGCTGTCCGCTGTAAGCGTGCAGCCTGGAAGAGGCACCGCCGTAGGCAGACGACCGATTCTTTTCTTTTCTTTCGGAAAGCAAGTGCGGTGGCCCGTAGGGCCATCCGTACGGCTAAACGTGAATGTTGGGCATCTTATGTCTCAACAATTACGTCCGAGACCCCTCCGGCCCAGATCTGGAAGCGTATCCGCAAGATAGCGGGTAAATTCGTTCCGATGTTTCACCGGTCCTTCACCTCCATGATACTCTTGTGGCGGACCCGTTGCAGGTCGCTTTCGAACTGGGTTCCCACTTTTCTTCTGTTAGCTCTGGTCTTCATCTTCCCCAATCTTTTTTTTTCTTCGTAAACCTGTCCTTGAGTCTCGTCCTTTAGATTTCTGCACTCATCTTCAGCTTCCCTATAATGATCCCTCTCTCTCTCTGAACTTCGTTCTGCCCTGGCCCTCTGCGGTTCTACAGCGGCGGGCTCCGATGGTATTCATTATGAGATGCTTCGCCATCTCCCTCCGAGCACGTCTCAGTATTTACTGAGTGTTTAATCGGATCTGGGAGTCGTCGTCAGTCCCTGAGGACTGGCTCGATGCCGTTGTCCTCCCTGTTCGCAAACCGGGGTCTCTGGGTACTTCCCCTAAGGACTTTCGCCCTATTGCTCTCACAAGTTGTGTCTGCAAACTCTTTGAACGTATGGTTAACGTTCGTCTGATGTGGTTCCTGGAACACCATCACCTCCTCTTCCCTTCTCAATTTGGTTTCCGCAAGTGCCGCAGCACGACAGATGTCCTGGTGAACTTGGAGGTCTATATTCGTACTGCTTTTGCTGCGAAGACCTCCGTTGTTGCCACCCTTTTTGACCTAGAAAAGGCTTACGACACCACTTGACGTTATCATATCCTATCTCAACTTCATTCTTTTGGCCTTCGTGGTCATCTCCCTCTCTTTCTCCGCAGCTTCCTCTCTCGTCGTTCCTTTCGGGTGCGCCTTGGTACCGCTCTCTCTCCCTCTTTTCAGCAATACGAAGGTGTGCCCCAGGGTAGTGTTCTGAGCACTACTCTTTTTCTGGTTGCCCTCAATGGTCTTCTTTCCTCTCTTCCTTCTGGTGTCTTCTCCGCTCTCTATGTCGATGATCTTACCCTTTGTTGTCAGGGTGATGATTCGCCTCTCCTTCAACGCCGGCTTCAACTTGCAATTGATGCCGTGTCGTCTTGGGCCACAGGTCATGGCTTCAAGTTCTCTACTTCTAAGACTTGTGCCATGACTTTTACGCGGAAACGGGTTGTTCTTCGTCCCTCTTTGTCACTTTATGGTCATCCCCTTGAATACAAAGATTCCGCGAAGCTTTTGGGGTTATTCCTTGACACTCGTTTGTCTTGGTCTCCCCATATCTCTTACCTCCGTGTTGAGTGCTCTAAGGCCCTTTCCCTCCTTCGGGTCTTGTCCCATACTTCTTGGGGGCAGATAGGCGCACTCTCCTTGCTTTACATTCCTCTCTCGTCCTGTCTAAGCTCGATTATGGTTGCCCTGCTTACTCGTCTGCTTCTCCTTCTACTCTTCGCCGTCTTGATGCTTTGCACCATACTGGGTTGCGCCTCAGTTCTGGTGCCTTTCGTTTGACTCCCATCCTAAGCTTGTATGTTGACACTGGCTTCCTGTCTCTCCAGGACCGCCGTGATCGCTACTGTCTTCGCTATCTTGCGCGGTCCTTGCAACATCCTTCCTCTCGCCTCTGTCGTGCTTTAACTTTTATCCCTCCTGCGGTTCCTGTTCCTCTTCACCACCTCCCTCTTTCTGTCCGGTTATCTCGCCTACAGGATTCTCACTCCGTTCGTATTTCTGATGTTTCTCCTCGTGTTGTTCCTTCTTTGCCCCCGTGGAGGGTCCCTCTTCCGCGGTTTTGTACTTCCTTGACCCGTATCACTAAAGCTTTTACCCCTCCTACGGTTCTAAAATGCCTTTTCCTCGAGCACTTTTCTTCTCACTCCCGCTCCGTTTCTGTCTTCACCGATGGGTCTAAGTCAGCGGACGGTGTTGGCTACTCTGTTGTTTTTCCTGATCGCACTTATATGTGTCACTTGCCTCTGGAGACTAGCATCTTTACAGCGGAACTTTATGCTATTCTCTATGCTCTTCGTCTCCTGCTTTCTCGTTGTCAGTCTTCCTTTGTGATTGTTGTTGACTCTCGTAGTGCCCTCATGGCTCTCGGGTCCTTTAATCCGGTTCATCCAGTAGTTGTCGAGATCCAGCATTGCCTGTTTCTTGTTCACAGTAAATTTAAGTCGGTTGAGTTTTGTTGGGTGTCCAGCCATATTGGTGTGTCTTTAAATGAGCGTGCGAATGCTGCCGCCAAGGAAGCTGTCCGCTCTTGTCCCATCTCTCGTAAAGGCATTCCGTATTCTGACTTTTACCCGGTTATCCATTCCTCCGTCCTTACCCGTTGGCAGGCTTCTTGGTTGTCTGTTACTGATAACAAGCTACGTACTCTTAAATGTTGTGTTTCCTCGTGGCCGTCCTCCTTCCACCGTAACCGGCGGTGGGAAAAAGCTCTGGCGAGGTTGCGTATTGGCCATACTCGCTTAACCCATGGTCACTTGATGGAGCGCCGCCCTGCTCCTTGTTGTCCTAGTTGCATTGTCCCTCTTACGGTCGTGCATGTCCTTCTCGAATGTCCTGACTTCCAGGACGAGCGTGTGTCTTGCTTTCCGACCGCCCCTCGCGGTCACCTGTCCCTCAATAGAATTCTTGGTGACTCGGATACTTTTGATATCGTTCGCCTTGTGCGTTTTTGTTCTCGTATTGGCATCCTTCGTGATATTTAGCGCCCTCTGATTATTTTGCACATTTGATGGTGCTACATAGCCTTCCCGGTTTGGTGCCTTCTTTTGATAATTACTTACTTTAAACCACTTGTTGTAGCTGCAGAAACTGTGTCAACTTTTTCTTCTACACTTTCTTGTCCTCCTGAGCCCTCCAGGTCTAATGAGAGTGCCATGGCAGCGTTTGTGGCCCCTGGCTGAGCATAAGAGGCAGAAAGTTTCTGTGCCGTTTCTAGAGTGTGAGCCTGGTCAAAGGCTGACTGTAAGTCTAAAGTTTTATTTTCAAGTAAGCGCTGCCTTATTGTGGCAGAACCTAGCCCATTAATGAAAGCATCTCCCACATAGTTATCACAGGCTTCTACAGCAGTCACTGCTTTGAACTGGCAATCTTTAGCTAATAACTTTAATGCCTGAAGAAACTGGTTAAGCGACTCACCGGGTTCTTGGCGTCGTGTTGCAAGCACATAACTTGCGAATACAGTACTTCATTCTTGGGCTTCACAAACAGTTCTGTTAGGGATTTTTCAGCCGCGTCATACGTAGTGCAGTCAGCTATGTAGTCGAACACACGTGGAGCAACGTAGTTTATTAAGAGACGCAGCTTGTCCATGGTGGGAGTATTTTCTACTGCTAGAGTGAAGTTTTGGAACATCTTGAGCAAGTGACGCCATTCTTGAGCGGCGGTGGTGGAGTTTGGGTCAGTAGCAAACCTCTGGGGCCGTAGTAACCGCTCCATGTTCACTGGCTGTATTTATTTGATCAATAAATTGAGGTGAATGAGAAGCGTCGCCAGACATGTGGCTTTATTGATAAAAAATTACAGTACAGTTACATCCTGCAATAACACAAGCCATTAATACACTATACTTGTACACAATTAAAGCACTGTCTATTCACTATAACAATAAGCCAACTGCACAAGACTAAAGCTAGAACATACACAAATTAAACTAGAAGTTAACATTACACAAACTTGTACACAAGCACGACACAGCTGATCTGACGATACAAACAAGTCAAGCGAGCATCCAAACAAAACGGTCAAGAGAGCATCCATCTGGTACGATAATATATAACACTTTTACTACACATCATACACGTAAAAACTCAGGCAATAATTATATATATCGTCATATGACAATATCAGCATTCACCTGGTAACTAATGAGTAACAGGTTCATTAGTAACTAATGAGAGCAGAATTTTGTTCAAGAGTCAAGGTAAACTACGTTACATCCACATAGACCTATTATATACTTACTTGCATAATATGTATAAAAGACAGACAATAATTGTTTAAATAATATATGATGATTACCCCATGAATCAACATATGATGATGACCGCTGTGTAACGGTTAAAGTTTTCTTCATAAGGCCTCTTGTACAAAGAGGAGATTAGTTAGATGCTATTATTCAACTTATATAAGGTGCACATATGAAGCAGTCCAACTGTTCCCCATTTGATAACTGTTCTTCTGTTTAATGGTGTATCATTACTGAGTAAATTGAGTCACAGACTTCCTTCATACTTCCCTTGGTTTGTTGATGTAATATTTTGGATAAAGATTCTGTATTGTACATAGGAGCTTAAAAATCATAATTGTTCCCTCAGATGTGGTAAAGGTATGCAAAGATTCTTTACGGTGGCTGGTGTGTTGGCTATGTGAGAGAACCAGCGCTGAGTTTCACGCACAGATTGCTGCTGGTATGGATCCGTTCACTGCTCGGAACAACACCCAGGTTTACCTTGCAAGAAATCTCTCTATTGCCTATGTTACAGTAAGAAATTTGTTTGTATTATATATCTCCCAATGTCTATCTTGTATACTCTTACATCATTCAGAAAAAGGTGGTACAGATATAGTCTCGGCCAATAATCCCTGTTTTAAATATATAAATTGATTGTATTGTTGATATATAAATTGATCAGTGAAATTGTATTGGGTGGTAAGAACATACCAATGATATTAGCATTTACTAGCTCATCACATCATGGATGCTTTGCACTATTCTCTAGTAGCAGAACAACTTTGCGGTTTTCTGGGAAGCCAACACTTTTCAGGTGCTCCTTCACTTTGGGTACAAATTTCTTATTAAACCACTCGGCAAATATTACTCAACACATCCACCCACTTGACTGGTTATTATAAAAGTCAGGGTGGCACCTTGCTGACTAAGTGCCACCTTTAGTGAAAGCTTTTTACTAATTTTTACCCATAACAATTTTACGAGTAAAATTTTTCCTGTGATAAGGAAACACAAATGAACACTCTTATAAGATGGAATATTTTTCTGGGGGAAGCCCCTTCGGCCCCTTGGAGCTGTCCAGGTTGATATGTATATCCCAAAACTTTGGCATCAGTCAGTGTGAATGGCGTTCTAGGCTTACCGGGGACCACGCTCAAAACCTGGCCCCCTCAGAGAGGCATGAGGAGCAATGGCCTATACAAATGCACGTGGGATTTGGAGCATTCTATATCTGCAATCGACTAGGACAGGCACCCAGAAAGGTGAGCACCTCAAAACAAACCCCTATTCTGGTTAAAACGACTAAAATAGACCCACTAGTGGACAGAACTCCCCAAATGAAAATGAGCAAACAAGCATGATGTTACACGAGCCGCACCTCGTGTCTGCGCATCTCCCTCCCCCCTCCCTGGGAGGGGGAAGGGGGAGCCCGAGACCCCCACGCCGGCAATGCACCCACTAGTTCTTCAGCTGTTGTGATTGTGGCATGGTCATGTGGCTCCAGCTCCAGACTCTGTGTTGTGCTGCACCTTGGGTCAAGTACTGCTCTTTCGGTGGTGTGCAAGCTGGGAGTAATATTCACAGGTATTCGGGCTGCATGTGCTTAGGATTACCTTCACTGAGTGCCCTGTAAGTACCGCCCTTGGGGCTTGGGGTTATCTTCCACAAGTCCCCTTGGGTCTACCTCTGTTGGTCTTTTACCGCTGAGCGATTGACTGCTCCGAGTGTTTTGAGGGTTTCTGCCCTTGTTTACCTTGGGGTATGTGGTAGTTTTTGAACTGGTAGGGGCACGGGGTACTGCACAGCTAGTTTTCACCTATAGCAATGGCTGGCTCTGGTTCCTCCTGGGTACGTTGTCCTCTTGCGAGGTTTTTATTTTTATTTTTGCCTGTTGGGGAGGGTCTGTCTTGGTGTTCTTTTCCCCAGTTATATTAAGGTTTGATCTTCTGTTTTCAGTGGTACCCCCCTGTTTTGCCTTCGTGAGTGGACACGTCCCGGGAGTTCAGCATTAGCAGAGTGTTTTGTAGCATTGGGCGCCGGTTAGCAGTACCCTGCCTGGGCTTACCCTTAGTGATACCAGTCTAGGGGAAACTCCGCAGGGGGCACACAGGGTTTGATGGATGCGACCCCCTGGGTCCCCTCTCGCCTTGTGCGAGTTTGAGGGTTGCTTTGTCCCCTTGTCTCATGAGGGCTTCAGAGTTGGGGCAGGGTTTAGAGGTTTTTGAGACTCGGGCGGTTTTGGAGGTTGCCCCTTCCGGGGTGGGGACGGAGGCATTCGAGTCAGTTCCTCCACCCATAGCTCTGGGGTTGACCAGCGGGCCCCATCCCTTCCTGCTTTATCGGTTGCCCCGGCTTTTTCTTGTGAGGCCAAGGCTTTGGAGGATGACTTGCCCCTGGGGCCTGATGTGGTTGTTCTCGTGGTTCGGGAGAGGTCTACTTGGGTGCTTTGGGCCTCGTTGGACCCCGCCTGGTTTTTCCAACCCTCAGTGCGGGGCTCTCTGTTACAAGGAGTGGTGTTTTCCTTTCCCCTCTCTTCGTACGAGTTAGTTTGGGCGTTGGCTCCTCCCAATGTTTAGTTCCGTGTACTTTCGGGTCCGTCAGTTCCATCCTTCCTGTGGATAATTTTAACCGCTTTCTCAAGCTTTTCATCTTGGACATGTACTTTTCTACATCATGTCGCAATCATGTTCAAATCGTATTAGGATTCCTGCATGACCATTGGTCACGGTTGCCTATGTGCCCATATGAGCCTCTGTGATGATGTGCTTGATTATCAAGGTTCTCGAAGGTTTAAGAAAATCTTCGATCCTTACATAATACTAGAACGTCTGTCGTGTTCCGGTGAGGCTTACCTCCAGTCCTTTATCGGACTTGTTGGTCCTGTTCTGTACTACTTGTCATCTTTCGATACTGTATCTCATTATTTTGTAATCGAATCTTCTCTCCAAACTCTGTCTCGACATTATTATTATTCGTTAAATACACCTTGTAGGCACCCTCCCCGAAAGATGGGTGGTGCAGCTTAGTCCTTAGGCGCATGGGCCGAGGGTGATCATTTTGTTAATGGACAGTGTAAACATGTGTTGGTGTTCTGCGTCCTTTATCGCGGGTTATATGCTGCTCTCGCTTATCTTATCTCTTCAGTCATAGCCCCCTAGATACTGGGGGAGTTCTGGATTTTATATATGAGAAAAACACCTAGTTCATTTCTCTGCTTACGGGTGTTTAGTGGCTCAGAGTGGCCCCGCCTCCACTTCTACACTACACCTAATCTTCTCCTGCTGTGCATGCATCTCTGGACATGATCCACTAGCGATGCTCCCGGAATATTTCACGGCTCAGCTTATATCAGTCTGGACACTCATTCATTGACTCAGTTAATGCTATCTGGACACCCATTCATTGACTCAGTAAATGCTGTCTGGACACTCATTCATTGACTCAGTCAATGCTATCTGGACACTCATTCATTGCCTCAATAAATGCTATCCGAACACTCATTCATTGACTCAGTCATTCCTCTCTGGATACTCATTCATTGACCGTCATGACCTGGCTGCACCCTTATACAGTGGAACCTCGATTAACGAATTTAATCCGTTCCGGCACCGAGCTCGTCATGTGAAAAGCTCGTCTTTCAAAACAAATTTCCCAATTTAAAATATTGGAAATAAAAATAATCCATTCCACCACCGAAAAACATCAATATGACATTTGATTCTTTAACCCTTAACATGCTCGGGGTTTAACCCTCAAACTGCTAGGGGCCCAAATGGAATTCACACCCACAGGCGCAACAAAAAAAACAATCTAAAAAGTTCTTTCGTCTTATAGAAGTGTTCATTTTTGTTCCCTGATCACGGAAAAAATAACAAAAATATCGTAGGTGGCATATTTTAGACATAATAGGGTAGGGAAGTGTGGCAAAAAAGTTGCGTTGGCAGAGCCTTCGCCAGACGAGGTCTACTCCGCCCGAGCTGTCAGACGGCAGTTGCCACAAATATATTATTACCTAATTATTTCAATGTCTCTGATTGATTTTTTCTTAGTTTTTTTGCAGTAATATTATTCCATACAGTGAATTGTGGTATATTTATATTGTAAAATGTGTGAACCATCGCTGTACTCAAAATTATGGTGTGCATATTAGTGATTCAATTATTATGTTCATAAAACAATAAACAAATAGGTTTTCTGTTGTTACACTATATACACAGGTTATATATAATATTTGCATGTTTTGTACACCATAACGAACTACTAAGTTGGTCTTGAGTCAAAAAGCAACGAGGAGTGATCGCCAAACACCAGCGAGCCACTCACTGCCACTCCCTCCCTCAACACCACCTCACTCACCTCCCACAATACTCTTTCTGTATTTATTCAATATACACAGACGTTATATATATGTATTTACATGTTTTGTTCACCATAACTACATCTAAGCTTGTATGGTGAGTAAAGGCACAAAGACGTAGCTACTCACACAGTCAGCTGATCGGCGGCCACTCTCAAGGCCAGACGCACTAATATTTGTCCTCCAACAATATTGTTTGTGTGTTATTACGCTATATACACACATTATATATAAGTATCTACCTGTTTTATTCGCCATACCTGAACAAATAAGCTGGTATGGTGCCCAAAGATCATAGTGGCCATCAGTAAACATGCCAAGTCGTGCAGACGACACTCCTCCCTCACCAAAATGGCGGCTCCCAACCTACTCTTCTCGCTGTTATCTCACACTATACACACGTTATATATAAGTATCTACATTTGTGCTCACCATGGCGAACCACTAAGCTGGTATGATGAGTGCAGTCAATAAATGGTGGCCACACAGTCAGAAAACGACACCACAACCCTACCTCTCACAGCCTTACTCCTCCCTCCATGGAGCACAGCGCTAAATATCACCACAATCCTGCTATTATCAGAATCCTGGTCAGTTTTATCACAGACAGGGGGCTTCAGTAATGCTATCACTGCTAAATAATAGCAGTATCATTTATATTATGGTATTTGTAGGCGATGCTGTGGTCACAAGCTGAACAGCGGTGCTGTGAGCTCATGCTGCGTGCGCCAGCCTTGATGGCTTGCTCAATACTGACGCTGTAACACCCAAGAATGTTGGCCTGGATTTTTTTTCTAGGTGGCATCTGGCAACTATCGGTCGTGGCTGTACTATAGCTGCCCCTATCCCAGGCGGGGCATTTAAATTATAGCGCTAGACACGAAATCATATATAAATGATGTGCGCGGTTTCGGTTTTGTCACTGATATCATTTATATATGATATGCGCGGTTTGAGGGTTAATATCCTGTCATCCCCACAGGCGCATGTCATTAAAAAAAAAAAAAAATCTTCCTAACCTGTTAATTTGTGTTCACTGATCACGGCAAAAATAATAAAAAAATCGTAAGTGGCATATATCGCCCACTATAGGGCGGGGAAGTCTGGCAAATTATAGGCGCTGACTCAGCGTTCGTCCCAGGCGGTCTGTTGCTTGCAAGCTGTCAGGCCGGAG